TTTTTCTCTCGATAAGATCGGTTTGGATGAGGCGTGTGTCACGTAATATGTGCATGTATATACGCGACAACCAACCGATTTACTATAAAAGAAACAAGGAACGTATTTGTATGTTAGGTTATATGCTTTTTCACGCTATGAAATTCTACCCGTTTCGAACGCCCTCTGTAAGATTTAGACAAGTAACCTTGACATGCGATTATTCTATGGTTAGGTTAGAATTGTTAGATTAAAATAATTTGAGAAACTATATTTATACAAAAAAATTTGGGAAGATTGAAATACTGCTTTTTTTTTATGAGGATAAGAAATAAAGTTGCGTCAATGAGCATTTGTATAAATATCCTCCAGACATTTATGATTGCTTATCATCTCTGCAAATAGTGTGTCGGTGCATTATTTTTATGATTTCATTTTTATTATAATGTGAAATAATTTGTATTTGCTAATTCAGATTTTTTATTTGATAGGATCTCTATTACGTGGACATGGAATATTACGCGAGTATGCTAAGATTTTTTTTTACATGAATATTCTATTTGTTATTATTTTTATTTTGAATAAAATATTTAATAATATCATATGTTTATTATTTTATATCCGTATAAAACTCTAAGTTATACTTTTTTTTTTTAAAGATTATTTTAAGAAATTTTCAAATTTTCAAATCAAGAGTTATGTAACTAGTTATGTCAATAATTGAAGAATGCATCAATCGTTTATCGAAAGTTCGAAAAAAAATTTGATCGAAATAATTAATAAAATAAGATTTGATTTTATATGACAAATCTTATATAAGACATTCTTGTTTGAGATGTATAAATGCTCGACTATCCTAATACTTAAAAATCGATACGAGCAGAGCTTATTTTATCAAACAGACTCGAGCACATGATTACTTTGATTACTGCTATGATTAGCTCGAACGATTTGAACGAGTTCAAAGAAATTTAAAATTATTTTATTCGTTATTAAATCAAATATAAGTTTTTAGAACTTTTACGTTAGAACAAAATTATTTTTAAGTAAAATACAAATAAAACTATTAAATTTTATTATAAAATGAAATATATACTGAAATAAAATATATATAGATTTATATTAATCATTCGATTTATGATATTTAATGCTCGTTTCACTGACATTAATTTCTTATATTTAATTTTTGTAATAATATCGACATACAAAGTAAAAAGGAATCAATGAAATGAAATTCATTGAAATAAAATTCAATAGGCTTCTCGATTGGTGGTGTACAAAGGTTAATAATCAATTAATTAATATTATATAAATTTCTTCTGTTTAATTTTTGCAACGAAATCAATGAACAAAGTATAAGAGAATTAATGAAACGAAATATACATTGGAAATATACATTGGAATAAAATTCTATATAAATTTATATCGAACATCCTTTGACATTAAATAAATATTTTGAATATAATGAATAATGATAAAAAAACTAGTTATATAAAATTTCATAATCTATAGTAGAACACAATTTCATAAGCAAAGTAATCAACCAAGATTTATAAGCAATCTCTATCTATCTACCTAACTAACGAGATGTTACTTTTAATATTAATATAACTATTAAATACTGATAATCAATGATAGTCAAATACTTATTAATATTTCAACAAGAATAACTCGAATAAAAATTCAAGTTCATTCATTCGATTATACTCATTAAAATCGATATATGAACGATAAATCTATCATTCTAACCTCAAAGAA